GGTCGGTCGGTCAAAGGCCTTTGACTGACCGTTGACCGACCGTTAACCGACTATGACCGACCGTTACCATCCCTAGCGCTGATCATCAAATAATTCGCATTACGCAGCAATAGAAAAGGTGGGCTGGTTCATTACAGGAATGACGAACGAAATGAGAAATACATTTAGTCTCAGTGTTGTTAGGTTGTGTTGTGTTGTGTCAGATCTCGCCAATCCAATGATCGATTGAAATTCAGGGATGAGGGGTGATTAATTCGATTCCTGGATCGTGGGCGTAGCTGTGAGGTAGTAAAGTTAGTGTCAAACTTACTTTCAGTTTTTTTAGCGAATTACTCTCGAACATCACGGGATACTGGAATATGTGATGCAAGAGGGAAAATACTCTCCAACCAAATCATCCGCATCACAGCCGTAGTATAGCATGATTTCTTGAACTTTCCTGCAACCGAAGAGGCCGTTAATCCAGGTTTTTGTGATGCGATCATATTTGCCGATTCCAATATCGCGTTATTCCGTATTTCTACAAAAGTAGGTAAGAAGTTTTTAGTTGAACATTTAATCTCCTTTGCTTAAATCAATCAAACGAAGCTAATCAAACTTACCTTTACATCCATCATCAACTTATCAACCGAATTATCGAGCATTTCCCCTCCTTTGAAGCACAGCTTCTGCAGGAGATATTCAAACAATTGTAGTGAAATATCTTCCTAGGGTGATCTTTTTCTCATTTTTAAATGTTTATGAGTAAAGGTATTTTATATGAACGATCGTTGAACATGTCTTGAAAGAAGGTTCGGAGGAAAATCGTGAAGCGGACACTTTGGCAAGTTAAATTTAATAGTTTGCTGATTAAACAGCTGTTGGAGGTTATCGTCCGATTTAAAAATATAGATAGGTATAGAGAAAAGTCAGTAATGAAAGGCAACGGTTTCAGTGGTATTTTGAAAATAGGAATAATCGTAAATATTAGCATAGAAACTTTATCTAGGGGAACCATTCTGGAAATCATCTTTATTCAGATTCAGATTTTTTTCCCATCAATCACAGCATCGTGTTAATAATCTACGAGATGCTAACCCAAGACATCTTGACAATAAAAATGTTCCGGAATATTGTTTGAAAAATCTAAGCACACACTTAAAATTTGCGGGAACATTACTAGCATTTGTATATTTAGGCGAATATCCATCTCCGGCTCCAGAAAAAAATACAAATAGCTAAACTAGAAAAAGCGGTATTGGCGATAATAATGCATTACAAATAATGAAATACGAGGCGGATTGGGATCGTGTATCACAAAGTAAGAATATTCTGCCCTATTGCATATGAAAAGAAGAACTAATTTTTTTTTGTCTATCATTAGCTTCATCTCGTTTATCTTCTGGCCGTGTCTTTACCAGCCAATACTCGGAATATCCCAATGATTTATGGGTGGAATTCACAACCTTATTTAATCAAAGAAGGAGGCGCTCGCATACACAACTTGAGAAGAGATGGATAATGGTAGTAATTAGAGAGCCAAAGAATAGGAGTAGCCATTGTCTTCCGAGACGGGCTTTCGGTCTGACTGCAAGTGTTCTAATATTTCAGATTAATGTCCACAGCAGCTATCTGTTATTTAGAATGCGTTTTCCTATGCAACTTCGCGAAATTTTATTTTTATATCAAAAATACGAAAAATATCTTTATTGTACATAATATTTTAATAAAACATAAATTAACGCAGTAAGACAATCTGTTTTGCTTATTGACTTTTCAGGTGAAATCATATGTAAAAAATTTTTTCTTGGCGAAAGTGATGAAACTATAGAAATTGATCGACTATATTAGTTCTTGTGAAATTCGAAATACTACGCTCACATATTTCCATGATTCCATGCTGACCATTTTTTACTTCGCTGGGAATCATCTTGATTCAGAATTAATCTAGCAAATTATATGCTAATCACCCTCTATAACAAGTTTTTAGAGGTCTTCTTCCCATTCACAAAATTTTTCTTGGCAAAAAGTAATCGGCATGAAGGATTATTCACTTATTCACACG